TGCCGCCAGGACAATACGTGTTTATCGCGACTGCAAGCAATTGGGAGACGCCAAAAGAAAGTGTGACGCGTCGCGTAGGCTGTGGTCTGATAAGAGGCCACCAAATGCCGAGACTCGGACCTCATTTGGGCAGAAAAACGACCGACCGACCAACCGACCTCTCCTCGAGACCGTCGGCTCAAGTCACCCTGTTTCGGACAGTGCCCCCCTCCCCCCGCCCCCACACACATACACACATACAGACACACCAAAATGCACATACACCCGAGGCGACCGGGGCTCGGACTTGAGGCCGGCAGAATGGACGAGGTTGTCGGCCTCCCGCTTCCTCCCATTTCTGCTCACTTTAGACCGGAGCAGGTGTTCCGGGAAGACGCAACTTTTGTACCGAAGGAGGCCAACAATGCGTTGTCGGGGGGCGGGGGTAGATGAGGCCCGACCCGCCTGTTGCTGGCGGAGACGAGAAGTATGGGGTCAAGAGGAGTGGAGCCCTGTTTGACCAACCAGAAGGTAGCACACTTCCGGCCACCTCGGCCCCTCGGCCTCGGAGGGCCGGAGTTTGACGGCCCAGGTTCGACTCCCGTCGGGGCTGGAGGCGACGTCGTCAAGTGGTTCTACAACCTTGTCTGAGTGCAGCGTCGGCCGACACGGAAGGAGCGTCGGAGGCATTTTTCCAATCCGGTCGCAGCTGATGAAGATCGAGAAGTTGCATTTCCACAAAATTTCAGTTTGACAAAGTTTAACACAATTTTGCATAACAAAAAGTGTTCTCATCTCACCTCGACTGGAGTGGTCTCGACTCATCGGGACTCGAACTTGGGCCACTGGAGGACTGCAATGGGGGCAAATTGAACTGCCAGTCCCTCATCACATCCATTCGTAGCCTCGAAAATCGGCCCACAAAAGCGCGGATTGCTAAAATACCAACAAGATTGCTTCGACGATAATCCCACCGTCCAAGTGTGATTTTAAAGAGACCTACACTTGCTTGAAATGCATACGTGCCTCGTAAGAGTTGCGCAAGACGCCAATTTGTCAAGACGGCACGTGAGTTCGAGTCCCGTCGGGACTGGTTGTCAGGCCGCTGCCTGACAACTGCACTGCAGACACACACGCAAGAATGTGTGAAATTTGACCGAGGCATGATTGTGAAAGAAGATTCCACTTGCACTGGCTGATCATCTTAAAAGCATAACAAATGAAAAATCTGCTGCATTCACACAATTTCGTCCGAGCTGATGAAAGGACTGGCGGTGCACTTTGCTCACAATCAGCCTTCTTCTCGCAAAAGCTAATCTCATCCAATGAGATGTATTCACCCAATGTCGTGTAAGGTGATGAAGGACTGGTAGTAGAATTTTCCCACAATCATATGAGTTGAGCTGACTTTTCCAT